TTGGTTATAGATTACAGAGTCTGTCAAATAAATTTGATACATTTATTTTGATATTATTGACTTTCGAGAGACAGCAAAATGACGTGATTTCAGCAGGACTAAATTCATCCTATATGGTATTTTTTTGTGAATTTCAAATGCATTTTAAATCGGTGCAAAACAATTCTTCCAATTTCAAAATGTCATTCCTAAAAAACATTTATTTAGTTATTTTTTAAGATAGTTTGTTGAGCTTTTAATATAATATCTTATTGATTTAATATTTGATTGGTTTTATTGTATAAATAATTTAATATACATACCTTTCCAAAAAGCGCAAAACAGCTACAATATGCTTACAATTGGCTGATAACTCCGCTTTACATGAGCACATCATTTTTTGGATCATTGGTTTTTTATATACGATGTTTATAATTTCTTCTATCGTATGCGGAAATTATTTAAGTGCGCTCGTTTGCAACACAAGACCCGGAATATGTTTGATCGAGTCATCATTCATTGTTTTGTGCCGCCAAAAGTAATTTTTAGGGCAAATTTTTTAATTCCTTACCTTCGTTCATATTCCGACTATTCATATTTCCTTTTACAAATTCATGTATTTGAGATAGTCGTAGAAACATATCGAAAAAATGAATGTGGTAATCAACTGATATCGTGAGACTAACAATTTAACCCTCTTTACAGACCACGTGAATAGTGTAACACTAGCGCTACCATCGGTCGTGAGCATCGCGAAAAGGTGCTCTCATGGAAGAGATAACATGAGATCTGTTCGTGTTGCATGAAATCCCCAAATATTTTGCACTTGAAATGAGATAGATATATATTTGACTTTGAAAAGAGAGAAAGCGAAGATGCTGAGTGCAAAAAGTGCGAGCAACGCGAACAGACCTATAACAATCATAGACAGAAACGGCGGAAATTTGGAGAGAGACGCTTGTAAACAGAACACACTATGTTGTCTCTTCCACCATGGGTGCTCTCGATGGGACGTATGTGACAATTAAAGCACCGTCAAAGGATGCTGATACGTCCAGAAATCGAAAAATGCAACATGCTATATAACGCTACAGGCAATATGGGATGCTAATTTAAAATTCAAAAATTATTTTGCAGGTTACCCTAATTCTTTACGTGATGCTAGAATTTTTTAAAATTCTGATATTTATCATTTGATACGTCAAAATTCATAAAAATATTTTTTTCATGGGGAATTTATTTTAGATGATAAAGTTTATCCTACTTTGAAGTGGTATTACTCCGTACATGAATCGAGGAAATTTAACAAGACTACAGGAGAATTTTAATACACGAGTTTCGCAGCAAAACAAATAATTGAAGGGGCATTTGCTCTTTCATTTAGTCGATTTAGATGATTAAAATACTTGGATATAAACAGAATCGATTTAATACGTATAACAATATTTACGCGTCGTGTTTTGCACAACATATACCTTGATTTTGATAATTTATTACTTACAAGGTAATATGAAGGCGATAACGAGTAATGAACAGAAAGAGATCATGAACGAGATGAATGAAGAGGAAAAACGACATGGAAGTGAGTGATGAGATGCACTGTGTAGTGAAAATTATAACGGCGATCGAAAAATATGATATTCTGAGCGCATTATTTTAAAATATTTCTATGTTTCATTACATTGATTTCGAAGAATAAAGAGTAATTGATTTCTAATTATATATATATATTATACAGTGATGGGAGAAAGTTCGGCAACGGTCAAATATCTTGGAAAATAATGCTTATGGAAAAAAATATTCAATACAAAAGTTTTAGTATATCAAGTGGTCTATTATATGATTATATTGAAATGATCTTCATGTGACTATGAAGGACACCGTGAAGGTCAACTTTGAAATCTTAAATGGAAACACCTATTTTCTTTTACATATCCATAAAGCTGGTGTCAAGATGTTTCCGAAACACTGGTTACAAACCCTTTTTGCTTGAGATCTTCCTGAGTTACGAACCTTTATCAAAGTGAGTCCCTGTGCGAACCTCGGGGTCCTTATCTCTGACTGTATTCGCGCGCACGCGCGCGCACACACACACACACACACACACACAAACGCGCGCGCACAAGGACTCACTTTGATCAAGCATCTCGAAGAGGTGGATATCCGACCGTGCCACCTCCACGCAGTACACCTTAGATAACGCGCCGGCGATACTTAAACTTTAAAGGTTCGTAACTCAGGAAGATCTCAAGCAAAAAGGGTTTGTAACCAGTGTTTCGGAAACGTCTTGACACCAGCTTTAAGGATATGTAAAAAAAAATAGGTGTTTCCATTTAAGATTTCAAAGTTGACCTTCACGATGTCCTTCAAGGTCACATGAAGGTCATTTCAATATAATCATATAATAGACCACTCGATATACTAAAACTTTTGTATTGAACATTTTTTTCCATAAGCATTATTTTCCAAGATATTTGACCGTTGCCGAACTTTCTCCCATCACTGTATATATTGCACATATACTTGAACATGTAACGGGGAAAACATATTCTGATATAAGATAATACAACTAAAATAATACTTTTAGAAAATATAATAGTGTTACGTCCAAACCCTTGGAAATTTTTAATTTTAGGATCTTATTGGAGCGAAAGGAGCGGAAATGGTGAGTTGGAAGGACGATCAGACTCTTGTCTGGCAAGTATCCGCACGGAGGCGAATACCGCTAGTCGAACGCACCCCTATGCGCTCGCTTCGGAATGGGTCAACGTCCTGCAAGGACGCTTTAACCCTGTTTCTTACGAGCGGTGCGATCGTCGGTCCAAATTTCGAGTCAAGGAATCTAATCCTTTTAACTCGGGACTGGACCACGTTTGAAAAGGCAAGGCTAACGACTACGAGGTCTCAGGGTTTTAAAATTACAGAATGAGAGAGATGTAAAATTATTAACATCGTTTATTAAAATTAATCATTACTTATTTATATATCGTTAACAGGTTAAAAAAGAATAAGAAATAGAGAAAGATTACACATAAATAAAATTATTATTATAAACTAGAATTATTATAAAGATCATTATTACTATGAAATAACATTAGTAAACTAAGATTATTACTATGAAACAACATTTATTACAAACAAAAATGATTAATACAAATTAAAAATTGTTATTACAATTAAAAAAGATGGTTATTACAATTAACTTACACAACATGAAGGTTCGTTTTATTTGGTAACGTTATTAATACTAACATTTTACGTATAAATCGCCAGAGAATGAAACTCAGGGTGAGCAGTGGTGAATGGTTTTGTTTATTATATTTCGCGTATAGTAGCGGAGGAAGGAAGGAAAAGATTGAAGAAGAATTCCACCGGTACCAAATATGGATAGGCGGAATTCGGGATAAATACAGGGATATCGGAGTGAAGAGGGAGAGCGACAATTGCACGCCGG